TGTTTTTATTGTACATAAATAATAAAATATTTTTACATATAAAAAATAAACATAATAATTAAAAAAATTAAACTACAATTAAAATTAAATACAGCAAACACAAAAGACAAAAGAAAGAAAATACAATACAATTGGAGTTTTGGTTTTCAGTGCAGGGACGGCTCGTCAAGTTGCAGTGGCAATGCAGGCAGCAGCAACGGCAACGCACCCCAGTGGCAACACAGAGAGCTCAGCGCAACGCAGACAGCCCAGCGGCAATATAGCAACGACGGCAACACAAAATCAGCGACAACAATGATCAATCTGGAGATGCCGTCGCCAAAGAAGAACTACAACTAATTTTGAAGATGAAGAGTTTAGCATACCTTTTTGTTTTTAATTCTAAAGATTTATATGAAAAATTAGGCACCATTTATAATTTTAGAAGAATTTGATTTCCAAATTCGTTTAAGATTCGGTTTCTAAAGTTGTTTAAAATTTGGTTTTCAGAATGTTTAAGATCACAGATATCAAGATCTCACGATTTTGATCGCGATTTTTGATTTTCTATTAAGATTCATGATTTTTATACTATTTAGATTGATAAATCCAATTAACATCGTACGATCGTACGATCATGCGATCTTATGATGTAAATCGAAATCTTAACAACCTTGGTCAACACTCTTATTTTTATGGCAAAAATTTACTTTTAACCCCTCATCTTGTCAAGTTTTAAGGTTTTAACTCCTCATCTTATACTATAATATTTTTAGCTTCTCACTTTATTAAATTTGTAAGTTTTAGACCATCACCTTATACTATGACATTTTTAGCCTCTCACTTATTAAAATTAAAGAAAATAGCTCTCATTTTGTAACAATTTGTTAGTTATATTAACTTATTGTTAATTCTATTAGCTGATTGTTAGTTGACTGTTAGCTGTCAAAAATCTTCTTTTAATTAATAGAGTTAAAAGATCTAATTTTATAATATTTTGTTAATTCTATTAATTAACTATTAATTGACTGTTAGTTGATAAAAATTTATTTTCAGCTAATAAAGTTAACAATCAATATAAAATGAGAATTATTTTCTTCGATTTTAATAAGTGAAGGATTAAAACCTACAAATTTAATAAAATGAAATGTTAAAAGTATCATAATATAAAATAAAGAGTTAAAACCTTCAAATTTAATAAAATAAAAAGTTAAAAACAGATTTTTAGCACATTTTTATTGGCCACGTTATTTTGATTTAAGAGGTTGCGTTTAAAAACTCCGAAGCAGGCTTACGTGGCCCAATGAAAGTGGAAGTGTTGGCCGGAGAGTGCAGGAGGGGAGTGCCCCGAGCACTGCTCTTCTGAGAATTACATATTTGTGCTCATCTCTTCGAGGCAGGACCCTTTCTTTCTTTATTTATTATTATTATTTATTTTATTGTTCTAGCGTGTACCATGTGGGTGAGTGTCACAGGAATTAGATACCTGTGCTTATCTTTTACTGGACCGAGAGAAATTGCCTTAAAGCGACGGAATCTTATCGAGGCCCTTTTGAAAAGGAAATACAGTATAAGTTCATGCGCAAAACAAGAACATACTGGAAAACGACGTACGTTGAGAAGGAAAATAGGGATTGGAATACGTCGGTTTGTGTAAAGCCACATAAACAACAAGTTTATCATTTACTTTACCTTGGAAAATTTATTTGGGGTAATGGAGAGAAGAATGAAGGCAGTGAAAATAGTGGAAGCTGGAAGTACAGTTGTTTGTGCAGTGAGATCAGTTGGCTTGCTGAGAAAAACTAAATTATGCCGCACTTCTAATAGAAATAGTATTTAAATTCACGTACTAATATTTAATAAAATAAATTTTTAAATTTTAAATTAAATTTAAATTAAATGAAATGATATTTTTAAAATTAATATTTTA